AAAAAAAAAAAAAAAAAACCGTTAAAAGGAAGTCTTTACAGGACCATCAGCTAAGGCAGAAAGGATCACCTGGATTTGCTATCTAACAGAACACAGTGGTAGCCAAAGTCCACACAAGTGGGATACATCTCTGGCTAGGTTAAGTAGGCCCAGATATAAGATAAATAGCAGGATCTCGTTCTCTGACCCAGGCTAGAGTACAGTGACATGATCACAGCTCACTGCAGCTTCGACCTCCTTGGCTCAATTGATCCTCCTAGCTGGACTACAGGCATGCACCACCACACCTGGCTAATTTTTTTAAAAAATTTTTATAGAGATATGGTCTCAATATGTTGCCCAGGCTAGTCTCAAACTCCCGGCCTCAAGTGATCCTCCTGGTTTGGCCTCCCAAAGTGTTGGAATTACAGTTGTGACTACCATGCCTGGCCTGTTGTTTTTATATTTCTGTCTTGCCTAAACTTTTTATTATGAGCATATTCCATTTAAAGATAAGTAAAATTGGCCGGGTGCAGTGGCTCACGCCTATAATCCCAGCACTTTGGGAGGCCGAGGAGGCGGGATTACAAGGTTAGGAGTTTGAGACCAGCCTGGCCAACATAGTGAAACTCCATCTCTACTAAAAATACAAAAAATTAGCTGGGCGTGATGGCGGGCACCTGTAATCCCAGCTACTCCAGAGGCTGAGGCAGAAGAATCACTTGAGCCTGGGAGGCGGAGGTTGCAGTGAGCTGAGAGAAAGCCATTGCACTCCAGCCTGGGTGACAAAGTAAAATCATTCTCTAAAATACAAGAAATAGACATAATCAAATGTCTAATAATATTAAATTGCCTAAATTATTTCAGTTGTAAGTACAAAAATATGTATACTAGGAAAAAAACAAATACATTTCATCTAATACAACTTAACCATTTAAGATTTTGCTCCCTCTGAATTTATATTTTTGTATACAAGTTGCTCATATTTTCTCCAATATAATCAAAGAGGAAACATTTCAAAGTTGAAAAACATTATGGTTGTCTTACAAAAATCAATTTACTGCTGGGTGCGGTGGCTCACACCTGTAATCCCAGCACTTTGGGAGGCCGAGGTTGGTGGATCACGAGGTCAAGAGTTCAGAAGACTGACCAACATGGTGAATTCCCATCTCTACTAAAAATACAAAAAGTAGTCAGGCATGCTGGTGCATGCCTGTAATACCAGCTACGCAGGAGGCTAAGGCAGGAGGATCGCTTGAACCCGGGAGGTGGAGGTTGCAGTGAGCTGAGATTGCACCACTGCACTTCAGCCTGGGCCACAGAACAAGACTCTGTCTCAAAAAAAAAAAAAAGAAAGAAAGAAAGAATGAAAAAATCAGGCCAAGTTTGGTGGCTCACTCCTGTAATCCCAGCACTTTGGGAGGCCGAGGTGGGCGGATCACGAGGTCAAGAGATTGAGACCATCCTGGCCAACATGGTGAAACCCTGTCTCTACTGAAAATACAAAAATTAGCTGGGTGTGGTGGTACACGCCTGTAGTCCCAGCTACTCAGGAGGCTGAGGCAGGAGAATTGCTTGAACCTGGGAGGCAGAGGTTGCAGTGAGCTGAGCCGAGGTCATGCCATTGCACTCCAGTCTGGTGCCTGGCAATGGGGCGAGACTCTGTCTCAAAAAAAAAAGAAAAAGAAAAAATCAATTTACTTCTCCCTTGATCCTTGCAGTATTTTCCTTCACTGAAATACTACTAGATAACCACTGGGCATGCTTAGAAAACAGTTCAAGATTTGAATTAGACACTCCTACTGTGTCTAATTTATAAATTATAATTTTAAAAAGCTGTAAGAAAACATCCCACGTTACTAGGGGACATTGCCTTGCTCCTAGCAGAAGAAATTTCCATTAGTACTCTGTGTCTGCTACACTTGGAAAAATCAACTCAATCATGAAAACTTTTGTCCCACTCCTAAATTCTCACCTGATTCATGTCAAGGTGTCTGGATAATTTCTTGTTTTAGCATTTAAATAGTGTATTCCTATACACTATTAAATAAGGAATAAGATATATTCCTTATTTGTGAATATACCTACTTGCTAAAATGTATTTGTAACCCCAAAATTAATATAGTAGTCCTTCTTATCTGCGGTTTTACTTTCCATGGTTTCAATTACCCATTAATATTTCTAAAAATATTAAGGGGAAACTCCTGAAATAAACAATTCCTTTTTATTTTTTTTTTTTTTGAGACAGGGTCTGGCTCTGCCACCCAGGCTTAAGTGCAGTGGCAGGATCTTGGCTCACTGCAGCCTCAACCTCCTGAGCTGAAGTGACCCTCCCACCTCACCCCCAGAGTAGCTGGGTCTACAGGCACATGCCACCACACCCAGCACATTTTTCTATTTTTTGTAGATACAGGTTTCACCATGTTGCCCAGGCTGGTCTCAAACTCCTGGGCTTAAGTGATCTGCCCACCTCATCCTCCCAAAGTGCTGGGATTACAGGCATGAGGCCACCTTGCCTCGCCCAGAAATAAACAATTCTTTTTTTTTAAATTTTAAAAAATAGAGATAGGATTTTGCCATGTTGGACAGGCTGGTTTCGAACTCCTGACCTCAAGTGATCCACCCGCCTTGGCCTCCCAAAGTGCTGGGATTACAGGAGTGAGCCACCATGCCTGGCCTAAACAATTCTTAAGTTTGTTTTTTTGAGACAGAGTTTTGCTCTTGTTGCCCAGGCTGGAGTGCAATGGTGCGGTCTCGGCACACTGCAACCTCCACCTCCTGGGTTCAAGCGATTCTCTTGCCTCAGCCTCCTGAGTAGCTGGGATTACAGGTGCCCGTGACCATGCCCAGATAATTTTTGTATTTTTAGTAGAGGCAGGGTTTCACCAAGTCAAGTCTTAGTGAAAGGGTTTCACCAAGAGTTCAAGTCTTGAACTCTTGACCTCAAGTGATCCGCCCGTCTCAGCTTCCCAGAGTGCTGGGATTACAGGCATGAGCCACTATGCCTGGCCAACAATTCTTAAGTTTTATTTTTTATTTATTTATTTTTCTTTACAGTGTATTTTTTCAAGGCGCTGTTTAAAAATTCTTAAGTTTTTTTTTTTTTTTTTTTGAGACGGAGTTTCGCTCTTGTTACCCAGACTGGAGTGCAACGGCGTGGTCTCGGCTCACCGCAACCTCCGCCTCCTGGGTTCAGGCAATTCTCCTGCCTCAGCCTCCCCAGCAGCTGGGATTACAGGCACGCGCCACCATGCCCAGCTAATTTTTTGTATTTTTAGTAGAGATGGGGTTTCACCATGTTGACCAGGATGGTCTCAATCTCTTGACCTCGTGATGCACCTGCCTCAGCCTCCCAAAGTGCTGGGATTACAGGCTTGAGCCACCGCGCCCGGCCCCTAAAAATTCTTAAGTTTTATACAAGTTTTCAATGATAGCCTAACACTATATCACAATACATAAGTCATTCACCTCACTTCATTTTATCACGTAGGTGCTTTACCATCTCATACCATCACCAGAAAAAGGGTAAGTACAATATAATATTTTAAGAGACAGCATATCCACATAACTTTTATTACAGAATATTAATATAATTGTTCTACTTTATTATTAGCTATTATTAATCTTTTACTGTGTCTAATTTATAAATTAAACTTTATCATAGGTATATATTTATAGGAAAAAACATAATGTACATTAGGTTCAGTATTATCTACAGTTTCAGGCATCCACTGGGGGGGTTTCAGAATGCATCCCCCACAAGTAAAGGGGGACTACCGTACTTGTTCTTTTGCAGTCATTCACAGACATGCGTAAAGTGGCAAAAAATGTGAATCACCCTACATGCATTTTCTGGGTGAGATCAAACAAAGTTTCACTCTGCCTTCTCATTTCAACTCTTATTAAATAGACTGTGGAAAAGACAAGTAGTCTTTTCCACAGTGTATTTAGTGTCTTTTTTGCACTTTTGTGCTTTTTGTTGGTAATTTTGCTGTTTAAAATGGCCCCTAACCATAATGATCAGGTATTACCTAGTACCCCTAAGTGCAAGAAAGCTATGAAGTGCCTTACAGAGAAAATGCCTATGTTAGATAAAGTTTCATTCAGGGATGAGTTATACCACTGATGGCCATGAGTTCAATGTTAAAAAATCAATAATACACATTCAATAAGGTGTTTTTAGGCATAAACCTATATAAAACAATGCTATATTGACTATGTGACAAAAATGTTGTAACTATAGGCTTGCAGGAACATAAACCTATATTTCCCCTAGGAGCAATCATTCAGTATTTGCTGATTCTCTGTTCATAGCAGACTTATAGAACTTATAGAACTTATAATTACTGCAAATAACAATCAACTATATATGTAGTAAAACAAGGTATCACTCAGGAAAACCTACAAAATTATGTTAACACTGCTGAGTGGAGAAAAACTAATAATCCATTATTTTAAATTACGTATTTAAAGAATTACACCTTCAATGTTTAGTAGTGCATTTAACTTGTAATAAGATCATTTGTAATTCAATAGCAACATAATGTTTCAGTGCATGACAAAAGTAAAAACTTCAAATCTCAAAACCAAGTCTAAAGTAGGCTGGAGTACAGTGGCACAATCCTGGCTCACTGTGGCCCCTGGGCTCAGGTGATCCTCCCACCTCAGCCTTCCAGGTAGCTGGGACTATAGGTGCATGCCACCATACCTCGCTAATTTTTTGCTTTTGTTGTTGTTGTTGTAGAGACAGGGTTTCACCATGTTGCCCAGGCTGATCTTGAATTCCTGGGCTAAAGCGATCTGCCTGCCTTGGTCTCCTAAAGTGCTGGAATTACAGGCATGAGCCACTGCACCTGGCCTAAAGTAATTCTTAGAAATAAATTTAAATATAATTTTTCTATTATAAATATAACTATTTTGTCTTACGGTAAAATAAATTTTCAGAATTAAGTTTAGAATCTAAAGATAATTCAAAGCTACTCAGAGGCTATAATAGTGTATTAACACCAAATTTATTTTATAATGAAAGAACTTATAGGATTCATTGAGTTTTTTTATTTTTAGTGTATGCATTTTCTTCAAGTATTAGGTTTTGCTTAATTTTTCAGAGTGGCAAGGGGAAATCTTACACGTAAATAATTAGTTCTGTCAATAGCAGTCGTTATGTTAGCTCTGTCAGTAATTTTATCTATAACACTAATCTGCCTTAGTAATCAATCTCAAGAAAGAGTTTGATAAAAATAATGGGTATTTTTTAATATTACCCATATTAAATATTAAAAGACTATTGCCCACCCACAAAACACAAAAGTTGTATCTTACATAGTCATTCAACAAGTTTAAAAAAAGAAAATAAGAGTAGTCATTCAATAAATGTCTGTTACTGAATCAAAAAATGAAAACACTCTCCCATATTTCAGAGAACACATCACTGGATAATTAATCAACTAATTTGATATATGGCAAAAAAGTTACCTTCTATATACTTTAAAAGCCTCTGAGGAGGTAATAAAGGGAATCGAATTGGGTCTAGCACTTCCACCACATGTTTTCTTCTTTTTCCCAAATCTTTCAGAATCCATTGCATTGCAGCTAAGAAGACCTGGTATTCATCCTCAATGCTAAGCTCTTCACTTCGCAAAATTTTGATCAGCTGATCTTTTGTAAGTGCCAGGAACTCTTCCCCACTATGAACCTCTAAGAAATGGACGTGAATGTAGTTTTCTGAGAATTCCAAGAGATCATGGCAGGCAATTTGCTCAGAGAACTGAAAGATCCCAATGCAGTTCAGTGGATCAATTTGTCCTTTCAGAAATTCACAGCAAAGATGAACAACTTCAGTCAACTGTAGCATGTCTGCTGCAACAATCAACTCCTGGACATTATTCACACCTATGTTCACTATCCCTAGAGAAGTAGGAAGACAAAATGGCCAATAAAATAAAAACAAACATTGGTTTACCATATTCAAAAAGTGTTCTATTTGATTTCACTGATAGTTTGATGTTTGCAAAGTAGACAAACACTAAAAAAGACAACCAAGGATTTGTGTAAAGAGCACAAAATTTAAATGATAACAATGCCTAACACATTTATGAAAACCTTAAAATGAACCAGGTGCAGTATTAATTGCTTTATATCCTCATTTAACCCTCACTACAATCCCATGTGGTAGATATTATTATTTTTCTTATTTTCATATAAAGGAAACAGAATCAAAGTTTAAGTAACTTGTCCATAAGTTCTATGGTCAAGCAAGTTGCAAGATAGGGGTTGACATCAAAGTCCATAAAAAAAAAAAAAAAAAAAAAAAAAAAACCTAAACTGAAGCCTAAGCTTTAAATTCAATATTTTCAGTCTTGTAAAATTAAACAGTTAGACATGACTTTGCAGTTTGTATACTTGAGAAAAAAAAAAAGAAGAAGAAAATCCCAGCACTTTGGGAGGCCGAGGCGGGCAGATCAGAAGGTCAAGAGATCGAGACCATCCTGGCTAACATACTGAAACCCCGTCTCTACTAAAAATATAAAAATTAGCTGAGCATAGTGGCGCGGGCCTGTAGTCCCAGCTATTTGGGAGGCTGAGGCAGGAGAATTGCTTGAACCCAGGAGGCAGAGGTTGCAGTGAGCCGAGATTGCGCCACTGTACTCCAGCCTGGCGCCTGGCAACAAAGCAAGACTCTGTCTCAAAAAAAAAAAAAAGAAAAAGAAAATCGTGTGCTTTAGAACAACATAGATGGGGCTGGAGGCCATGGTTCTAAGCAAATTAACACAAGAACAGAAAACCAAATATCACATGTTTTCATGTATAAGTGGCAGCTAAACACTGCATACATATGGACACAAAGAAAGCATGGATAGACTTAGAATGGAGGGTAGGTGGACAGTAAGAACTGCAAAATTGCGGCTGGGCATGGTGGCTCACGCCTGTAATCCCTGCACTTTGAGAGGCCAAGGTAGGTGGATCACTTGAGGTCAGGAGTTCGAGACCAGCCTGGCCAACATGCAGAAACCCTGTCTGTGCTAAAAGTATAAAAAAATTGGACGTCATGGCGGATGCCTGTAATCCCAGCTACTCGGGAGGCTGAGGCAGGAGAATCACTTGAACCCAGGAGGCAGAGGTTGCAGTGAGCCGAAATCACACCACTGCACTCCAGCCTAAGTGACAATAAGACTCTGTCTCCAAAAAAAAAAAAAAAAGAAAAAAAGAAAAAAAGAAAAATTACCTATCAGGCATTATACTGATTATCTGGGGGGGACAAAATTATCTACATACCAAGCCCCCAAGACAATTTATCCATGCAACAAACTTACACATGAACCTAAAATAAAAATTGGAAAGAAAAAAACAAGCAACAACAACAAATAAAGACTATGGTTTTAACATAAGGTTATATGCATGTAACAAACATTTACTGAGGCACTCGGGAGAGTAAGACAGGGTCTCCATCTTAAATTACGATAAAATGCCATACAATGCTCATTTTTTGTTTGTTTGTCTGTTTGTTTTGAGACAGTGTCTCGTTCTGTTGCCCAGGCTGGGGTGCAGTGGCACAATCTTGGCTCACTGCAGCCTCTGCCTCCTGGGCTCAGGTAAGCCTCCCACTTCAGCCTCCCAAGTAGCTGGCACTACAGACACCACCACAACCAGCTAGTTTTTTGTATTTTTTTATAGAGACAGGGTTTTGGCCACATTGCCCAGGCTGATCTCAAACTCCAGGACTCAGGCAATCCACCCACCTCAGCCTCCCAAAATGCTGGGATTACAGGTATAAGCCACCATACTCAACACAATGTTAGTTTTTAGCATTAAGAATAACCAAGAATCAGGCCGGGTGCGGTGGCTCAAGCCTGTAATCCCAGCACTTTGGGAGGCCGAGGCGGGTGGATCACGAGGTCAAGAGATCAAGACCATCCTGGTCAACATGGTGAAACCCCGTCTCTACTAAAAAATACAAAAAATTAGCTGGGCATGGTGGCGCGTGCCTGTAGTCCCAGCTGCTCAGGAGGCTGAGGCAGGAGAATTGCCTGAACCCAGGAGGCGGAGGTTGCGGTGAGCCGAGATTGCGCCATTGCACTCCAGCCTGGGTAACAAGAGCGAAACTCCGTCTCAAAAAAAAAAAAAAAAAAAAAAAAAAAAACAAAAAAAAAAAAAAAAAAAAAAAAAAAAAGAATAACCAAGAATCTATAACATATGAGAAACTATTAAATACTTAAACTATGTATGCCACTCTCTTTTCCAAGGGCTTCATTTTCTTTTTTATAACACTTATTCCACTTAACTATGTGTCTAAAGTTTGTATTCCAGATAGATTTACAAAGACTCTTAGGGCATGGTTTGTCTGCTCTGTATTCCTAACACCTAGCATATACCAGATGCTTAAAAAAATTTTTTAAGTGAATGAAAGGCTAAAGAGATTATAGTGAGAAAAAGAATATGGTTCACTGAATGCAAACAAGAGGTTTTCCAAAAGTGTAAGAAATTGACTCCAGCAAGGGAATAAATAGTACTTGCTGCAGAGAAAACAAATAAGATTTACTTGAATGAAATAGGAATTCATGACAAACTTAAAGAGAAGATAGGATCATGGGTTGTGATGTAAGGGGGCTGAATGACTGTTACTAGAATAAAGCCAAGTGTTACTTGAGAGTTAAGGCTATACAATTTAATATGGTTTTATAGTTAACAAAGCACTTCCACATTTACTAAAATTTATCTTGTTTAACCTTTACATAAATTATAAAATGCTACTGTATCTAATCTGCATTACCTAGAAAGCTTTCTAAAGGCAGAGAGTATGTTTGTCTACTTTACTGTCGTATCTCCAGTGACTAGCTCAAAAGGAGTACTCAATAGGTATTTGTTGAAAAATAAACAAATGATTGACTAAAGTTAAATGAAATGCCTAGTATCACAGAGCTAATTAGTGGCACACAGCTAGATCTCAAGACCAGGTCATTTGATTGATTCCAAGTAAAATGCATACAAATCTTAAGGTGATGTGTGGTGGCATATGCCTGTAGTCCTAGTTACTCAAGAGGATGAGGTGGAAGGATTTTTTTGAGCCAAAGAGTTGGAGGCTGCAGTGAACTACGATTGTGTCACTGTACTCTAGCCCGGCTGACAGACTGAGACCTTGTCTCTTTAAAAAAAAAAAAAAAAAAAAA